TGAGAGAATATGAAAGAGATGCTGGTTCTGCTCTGAGTGACTAAATCCCACACCCATACCCAAAGCAGTAATTGTTCGGTTTTGCAGAAGTAGGTGTGTTGGGGGCTGCGGGGGTGGGGGGTATGTCATGCCACAAAACAGAATAAATAACTTCATACTTGAGAGAGCCAAAGAGAATACAGCAGCAAGATCACCAATCTTAGAGGTCAGGTGAAGACAGTCAACAGGGGAAGCAAGGGACAGTGGCCTCCACAGATAGAGTTAGCTGTGACTTAGTAACCAACAGGCTAATATTTATGAATACTTGTATAATAGGCTGGCACTCTTGTTTTATCTCATATTTAATCTCCACAGCACCCTGGACATGCAAGTACTATTATTCCCTTCATCTGATGCATAGGGATCCTGAGTCTTAGGGAAGATGAGCAAACTAAGCCCATATGCTACATGAAGGTAGATCCACATTTTGAACTTGGGTTTATCTCACGTCAAAGCAAGGTTTTCATACAACTTCACTGAGATATGCTATCTGCTTTTCAAAAGTCATCACAGTCAACTTTTCTTGGTGACTTTGTATAGAGTATTTTAATTCTGGTTGAAGTACATGCAGTTGCCATTTTTTGTATGTAAAAAAATGGTGAAAAACTGGCAACATTATATTTCAACATATACTTTATTCCTTTGAGTCAGACAGTAATTTCATTTGGGAGTTATGAATGTAACTTTAAATTTGAGAAAACTAAGGACAAGAAAAAAATAAAAGATTAAAAAAAAGAGTATTAGCAACTAAAAGATTAACGAGGGAAGAAGCATTTTGTCACTGCCCAGGCTGAATTCATGCTATTCGACCATCTCTGTGCTTCTTGCCTTCCTGTTTCTCTTTTTATGTGAATACCTTCTCTCCTTTTCACCTCCATGCTTCAAAATCTGATGCAGATGTTTTTCCTCCCATAAGATTTCCCAAGTCAGTGGAGTCTATTGAGAGCTCAATGTCCTCCAGACTCCATTCCATGGGTCACCTACCTCTTTCTCTAGGATATGCTATTGTCTTAATGCTTTTAATTCTTTTGCACAATTGCTGTCTTTAACTTTGGAGCCACGTTACAGGGTTCCTTTGATAACTCCCTTTCCTCTTTTGTGATTCTGAAGTACAATCAATGTTGGTCATATCCTGCAAAAACTATTAAATGATGCATTTCACTGAAAGTTTTTAGAAGAGATGGAGACCATAGACATCATATACTGTGTAGCATTTCATACCTAGAATGATTTTATTTTTAAAAAAGTCTTTCCTCTTACCCCTTTCTCCTCCTAGATCCCCCTAGGCAGGTTCCAAACTTCACCTTCCAGACCCCTTCTGCACCCTCCAACCTTTCTCTTCTCCTGTTTTCCTGTAGCTCTAGATTCCTTTTCTCATGTAATGCAATATGGCTCTACCTCAGCTTCCCCAGCCTACCTCTTCACAGTTCTTATCATCATGCTTAACAAATAAAACCCACCCTATGTGCCTATCTTCCTTACAAAGTGGCAAAACATTATATCCAATAAATAGTTTTTCTTCCCATGATGCTTATCAATATGTGTTATTTTTCCAATAGACTAGAATCTCATGCATGCCTAAACATTAGAACATTTATCTAGCACCTACTATGACCAAGCCATATTATGCTCCATGCTTTTTATGACTCTATCTTACACTTGCTATAAAATATACCAAGACCTGACATATTGCCAGCATGGAGCAAGAATAAAAAAAAATGTTGATAAATTGATTTTTATCAGACCCAATAATCTTTCAACAGTATCAAGAATAAAAGATTTAAACTAATAAGATACATATTGTTACACTGAATAAATAAATCTACTATRTAAAATTTTAAAGATTCCTAATATGAACAAATTTTTTAATAAGTCTTTACCTGCCTTTTAGTAGATTGGGCTACTAAGCTTTCAAAATTATAAATAAGTTCTTTATGTAAGTTTTTGGACTTGGGATGTGACTCAGTGTTAGAGCACCTACTTAGCATGTCAGAAGCCTTGGGCCTGATCCCCAGCACTGCAAAAGTAAGTGAGTAAAAAACAAATAAACAAATAATCTCCCAGTAAGAAAAAATGTTCAACTTCTACCAAGAATAAAATAAAATTAAGTGGTCTTTTATGACACCATAATCTCACTAATAGAAGAAGAAACACAAATTAAAATATATGTTCACGTTTGTAAATTACATTAATACTTTAAAAAGTATTAATGTCAGGAAAGGTGTAATGAAGCATGGATGTTACTGAGCATGGTGGCACATGCCTACAATCCCAGAAACTCAGGAGGCTGAGGCAGGAGGATCATAAGTTTGAGACTAGCCTGGTCAACTTAGCAAGACCCTGTTTCAAAATAAAAAATAAAGGGGGCTGGGGATATACCTTATTGGAAAAGTCCCCTGAGTTCAATCCCCAGTAAAGGAAAGGAAAGAAAAAAAAAGAAATGTCCATTCAGTGCTAAAAATGGGATATAAATAAAAGTATCCCCTTTGGAAAGCAATGGAGGAATGCATATATAAGACGCTCCTAAGATATTTATATCATTATTTTTGACATTAACAACTATTAAGAATGTATTTTGAGAAAATAATATTTAAAAATGTATGAACAAAGATTTCCACTGCAGTACTGCTTCCAAATAGTAACATTAAAAAACAACCTTAACATAAAACAATGGAAGTATGATTAAATAAACAAATCAATATTATACAGTACCCTAAAAGCCTGATAATAGTTTGAGATGATATAAAATCCTTGTTAAAATTATTAATTGAAATATTGGAATGCAAAATTTAATATATACACACTCACATACACATATAGTCATTATGAATGTATAAAACTATGCATAGAAAACAATACTGTGGATATCTTCATGTCTTAGAATGATGGATAATTTTCCAACTGGTTTATATTTTTGACTTTTTTGTAGTAGGCTTACATTATTTATAATCAGAATAATAAAAAGTGTTTTTGAATTGGTACATACAATTGGTACAGAATCACCGACTAATCCTCACAACATTCTGAATACCCCCTGTTAGTAGATTCCTTTTAGCTGAATTGTTACCAAGAGCCCTTGGATAGTTTCCCAAACCAGTTAATGCTCATTGCACCAATGACTGATATATTGTAAGGTGGTAAAACATCATGTAAATGAATGAAATGTGAGTATGAAAAGTCACTTCTACAAAAAGACACATTGAAAAAGGTACATTGCTAAAAGAAGGGTTGCAATTAGTTGTGGGAAGGTGGTATTACAAAACTTTGGGAAAATTTATAAAAATCTAGAACAGTTTTGCATTCAGATTGTCATACAAATGTCTTTAATTCTTTCACTTTCAGGAACAAGAAACAAAAACTGGATACCATCTATGATATAATTTAAGTGCGATTTGTGCAAGAAAGTTAGTTGAAGAGATCCTTAGTTAATACACTTACATTCAAGGTAAAGGTCTCTTTTTTTTCTACCAAAAATGTGACATTCAAGTGTCTATTCATATGTTTCAAGCAAAAGTAAAACTATAAAATTTTGTGTGCTTGTATCAATCTTGTAACTAAACCACAAATTATTGGTCCTTACTGGTCAGATAAGAGGGTCACTGTTGCATACAGTGTGTACACTCAGAGTCACTTCTAGTCATACATGTAAGCTATAATTTGTTTAAGAAACCATGTTATGCCTATACTTCTAAGTAAATGTATATGTGTGAATATAAAGACATATTTGTATATACATGTAAATATGCATGTGTCTGCTTTCACCCACACACTATTTATATACCATGAAATTAACTATTCTACTGCTTGACCAAATCATGCATTCATGCAGTAGACCTTTCATAAGTAGGTAATTTAGCAAACTCAAAGTGTGAAATTAAACTTGGCGACAATGACCGTGGTGCGTGTAGGCACCATAGTTCTGGTTGAAAGCATCATGTTTAACTTACTGTTCCTTTGTCCTTATCAGCAATGGCCAGAGCCAAAGAATTTCTTGTTCAGCCACCTTAAGATTCACTTTCTGGTGGAGCTCAAGTACCTAAACCTAAAGCACTTAGCCCAGAAGCACTATTTACAACCAACTCAGAAGTTTGCCTAGAAACTCTTCACTTAGTCCAACTCGTTCAAGCTCCTTCTTCTTCATGTCAGGCCAGAAAAGACTGGCTAAAGGAGATCAGAAGTCCAAAATAAAGAAGGAAATTGCTCTTGTTGAAAAACAGATAAAAGCATTTTGTTTTGATGAGTGGACATATTTTCAGTATTCTCCTCTGCTGGAAAGATATAAAAATAATGACATACAGGGTGGTGTTATGCTGAGTGACAGAGAGTGAAAACATGTTCTAGGTGAGGTGCTGATAAATAGTTAAGTCTGAATTCAAATGTTTGCCCTTTGCTTTCCATCTCCATGATCTTGTACATCTTACCTCATATCTCTAAAACTTATTTCCTCATCTTAAAAATGAGAAAACTATCACCATCCTCATGAGACAACTGTGAAATTAACCAAAATCGCTTATAATCCCTGGCACATTTGTTGGGTGGGAGATCAAAATATTCATTTCTCCTTCTACTCAAGTTTTGGTGTCTTAATCAGAAATGGGATTCTTTGAGGATCCAGAGGGAAAATGTAGATCAGAAGGTCTGGTCCAGTTTTGACACAGGATAATCGCCTTCTCTTTAAAATACTTTTTTATAATTCATTTTTTAAAATAAGCAATGGAAAATTTTTACAGATAATTTTGTGTCTAAATTTTTTTGTAATCTTTATGTCACTGAGAATTCATTCTATTAGTAATATTTATTTCTCTATTCCTTCCCCTCTCTCTCTCTCTCTCACTCTCTCTCTCTCTCTCTCTCTCTCTCTCTCTCTCTCTCTCTCTCTCTCTCTCTCTCTCTCTCTCTCTCTCACACACACACACACACACACACACACACACACTTTCCAAGTGAAAAGTAAGGCTTACCTGCAGTTCCAGAGAGTTCCACACTTAAGGTTCGTTCAATAGTCTTGTTCTCAAATGGGGAACCCTTGGGGTCACTGGAAGATATGGCACATTTATAAAAACAAACTGAAATGGAGTTGCTGTAGCCAAATGTATTAGAACCCCCTTCCCTTTCTGAAAATGATTACATTTCTTAATACTTACTTTGGTGACTCTGGGGTCAGAGGAAGAGATAAAGTTGTTGGTTTGGCTAAAGGAGAAAAAAAGAACTAATTATGAAATATGGAGTACTTTTTAGATTTATTTTCTTTCTACTACAGTCAGGTTAGAAATATGACCAGGAAAATTGGAAAGCTGAACCAGGGGAATCCCTGAAAATTGGATCAAAGTCAGAGAAAAGTCCATTATGCTAAAACAAATTCCAAACAACATTTGCATCAGTAAACTATCATTTGAAAACACATACAAAAACAGAATTTTTCCCAAAATGTACCATCCTGTTAAGAATACAAAATTTGCATCATACCATCAGAGAGAAATAATGTTTTCTGTTTTAATTTGGAATAGAGTACATGGTTTGTTTAGACAAAAAAAAAAAAACAGCAGAGTAACTATAAGGTGACAGAACGTTATGAATATTCAGTTGATTTTACTCCTAAAATGTATAATTTTATATCTAGCCCTGAGAATAGGTTATTTCTATGAGGCCGAAGCTCAAGCAATAACTGTTCCATTCACTGAAAATTAATTGAGYGATGATGGCAAATTGTGGGCATTGACCCAGATGGCTTAAATGGAGTTTGGAACCTCAACTCTGATAGACAACTGAAGTTAGATATTGTGTTTAGCAGTTGAGAGATCCACAGACTTGCAAAGAGAGCTCTCCAATTTCTTTCAGTCTTTACTAAGTCCTATTTCCTATAGGAGGCATATCCCAATAACGAGAGGGAAGTGGGTGGGAGTCTTCTCATCACAAAATCTCCATGTCAGTCTTATATTCTGAACAGAAATAGGGAACATGTGATGAGAAATGTACTTGAGCTAGACATCCAAGTTTCATTTGTACTTAAGCTCTTCTATGGAGATACACTTGCATGTATACAAGTCTATATCAAACTTTTTTCTCATCAAGCAACTACTTTCAGAAGGTCAAAAGTAGTTATTTATGCAATGAAAATCATGAAGTTGAAACCAAAAGTGTCTTTATAATAAACTTTCTTATTCTATGGATGAAGAAACTGACACCCAAAGATGCTAAATGATATTTGCGGGGCCATAAAACTGGTTCCTGGCAGAACTGGTCAAGATGTTTTCTTTCTCCTGTTATCAAAAGGAATTATATTCAACAGACTTTCAAATAAATTAATCAAAACCAGTAATTAAGGTCCTTTGAAATGGGAAAATATTATTTATGTCCAAATTAGCCTGAAATTAGGTGCTTTACTTGGATAAATAGTATTTACATATTTAATTTGTAGATTTAGATTTAGTTTTTAAACAATCAAATGGTATATCATCTATCCGATGTGCATCCAGAAATATGAAGCTCATGCTGTCTTCTACAAATTAGGCACATCGATTAATTGGCTTTTACATATATACAGATAAATGAACTGATTTCACATTAATTTTTGAGTATGTCTAATTTAATAAGCCTTTCAAAAATAACTCATTTATGAAGGAACTTTGCCCACTTTTATGATGTTCAACTAAGAACTAGGATAATTCATACAGGTTCCATAGAAAATATAACCAGATAAGGAACTACATGCTGTTTGACACAATAAATATACCTTGAAAATCAGAAACTGAATTCCAGTTTCTAGATGTAGTCAGACTCTGAAATGCTCAAGGGAAGACCCCAACAGTTGTGGTAGTTGTGCATAGGTAAGGCCAAGGGCAAGGGAGGGAAGAARATGAATCAGCAGGAGCCATATTTAATGGGGCCAATGGCAAAAAGGAAATTAGAACTATAGGAGGAGTGTAGTCCCTAAACCATATTCAGCACCTAATCCCCAAATCAACCAGGCTCCTACTCCTAAGAGAACTGGTTTGGTTTACTGGGAGTTTAATGGACCATGTTTCAAGGACTGGTAAACTAGAGACTGCTGGGGTCCTTAAGGACAGGAATGCGTCTTTTTCATGTAGATGATGCTTTTTGGTTAAACACATTAGGGAATGAATGAATAAATGGGACACCAACACATACCAAAGACCAGTGGATCATCCTAAGGAACTGAAAAGTACATGACCCCACAATATTACAGAGAGCACACGTAAAGTTCAGGGGAAAAAATTTATAGCACATTTGGAAAGGGGATCTCAGCAATCTTCATTAGGGTCTTCAACTGTTCATGTACATTTTACTTCTTGATCTTAAATAATGAATTAATCTCTGAAGTTGAGCACTTATTGGTTATTAATAGTCAGCCATGGTTTATTTCTTTTAGGCCTTTAATAAATAGAATTGTAGTCCCTTAGTAACAGGAACTTTTTTCTTTTTAACCAATGGGTTTTATTCTGAGATAAGATTTTATGCTTTGCCCCAGACACATACCTTAACAAAATCCACATGTAACTGGTCTTGCCTAGAGAATAAATCCTCCAGAGGCCTATTTAATTTCTTACTACCATGATTTATAAGTTTACAGTGATTAATATTAGTGGATGTGGACTTATAAAAACCTCAAAATCTAAAAGGACCAGCTTAAAAAAAAAAAAAAAAAAAAGTAAAAAGACTTTTAAGCCACGTGCTGCTGGGCTGAGTTCACTGATCACAGGATTTTAGGGAGCTCAGGACTTCAAGTTCAGCTTCAGAAAACCAATGTCTGAATGACAAGGTGCAGAGAAGCACAGCAAACCCTTCTGCTCACTTTCTATAGCTACCCCAAAGGCTACCCTTCCCTGTAGGCCTGCAACAAACTGAGTCACTTAGCATGGGGTTCTGTCCCCCCAAAAAAATAACTGTAACAGAGCTTGCCATTAGGTGCTAATCTGCACAAAGGGAGCTGTAAGGGAACTTGGCCCACGTCATTAATATATCTCTCTCCAAACCAACAGAAGGAGATGGACAATGAACTTGACATATCCACCACAGAAAACCCAATGGAGAGCCAATTAAAATATTAAAAGGAAGTTCCTAAAAATCTTGTGCTAATGTGGAGGAGATGAAGGGAGGGGATTCAAAACAGTGGGAAAGTAAATACTTATGAATATCAGCAGCAACAACAGCATACCTGTATGAAACAATCATGGTTCAAAACAGGGATCAGGGACTATCATTCTGCAGCTAGAAGGAGAAGTTGGAGAAACAAAAGGGAAAAAAAAACAGGTGGGTGTTTATAATGGTTATTTTAGAATATGCCTCCTTCTAGATAATGTTAGAGGTAGAACAGGAACTGGCTTGTTTTAAACAGCAGTCACTCACAAGGAGCTCTCTTTGGGCCTCCTGGACTACAACATTTTGAGGGGGAAGAACTAAAGAAGAAAATTATATCTTTGCCCAGAGATTTTCCCCAAATCACCCCAATTGACACTGGAAGCATCAGCTTTCTAGCAAAGTACAGAAATAATAAAAATCAACCCAGATGTTTTGTTTAATCTAGGCAATTTAAAAAAAAAAATGAGGGAAAAAACAGAAAAAGAAAATTTAGGAATTTCTAAATCCTTACATACAATATAAAATCTGTAAGCACAGCATGTGGTGTATAAATGAAGAAGAAAAGAAGAATGCACTTAATGAGGAGAGGCTACATAAATAGTGTTTACTACTTCTTAAGGTATGGAGAGTAAATCTATAGAGACTCGGTTTTTCCATTACCCAAAGGGAAAAATTAAAAGCTCTTTAATGAGTGGGCCACCCCGGATCACACCTAACTTCTAGATCTCAGCAATTCAGAGATTCCCCTAAGCCTCAAGGATGTCGCAATTCCTTCCCACTCTGCTTCACCCTCCACCCAGCTATAATTTCCGGGATCTTTTGGTAGTTGCAGCTACTGCCTATCAGCGGAATAGGATATGCTCAATCTGTGTCCAAGCAAGGGTTTCCTTCCCCTCGGTAATAAACTGCTGAATTCCCTTTCCACGAAGCACCCACGGGACCGAGCGCGCAATCTGCGCTCAGACCTCAGTCTTTACTGAGCTGCGCCCGACAGCGCGCGGTGGGGGGCGCCTACCTTGTACATGTTGCGACTGCGATTGTGTGTGGGACTTCTTTTTGGAGGTGCATTTGTCTCTGCTGCTGTTCCTGTTCTCTGTGGGTTTGGTGTGAGGAGGGTCATCGTTTGTGGTCAGATACTTGAGAAGCTCCGAGCATGGACGTCTTTGTGGCTTTTGCTGTTGACAAATGCTCTTCGCTTTATTGCTCCATGAATTCTCGGTCTTAAAAACAAGGCAGAGAGAAAGCTAAAATTAGTGAACTGAACCTTATCAGAATGGATATAGGTTTTTCTGAAGAGATGAGATTTCCAGTGAAGTGTTCAGTCTAAGTGTACTAGATCTATGAGCTGTGAATAATTGTTTGCAGAACAAGGAAAGAAAATTACATTTAAAATTCCTAAATGACATTTATGCAGCTTTTTATTTCATTTCTCCTACATTTCAATGTTCCTACTCAGCAACATGTAACTAACAAGACCCTACAGCGCCTTTACTGTGAATAAAAAAAAAAAAAAAAAAAGTAAGCTGGTTTAAACCTTAATTTACCGCTGATTGCTGAAGCCCAGTATTCACAACTCTCTTAAGTACCCCTTAACGCTCCGTTTTCACTCACAGTGAATGGCAAGACAAACATTGTTTAATACAGCGAGCATTCCATCCAATTAATGACAGAGACAGATCTTTTGCAGCGATTCCAAAGAAATGTTTCTCAGGTTAGACAGCTGGCAAAACAGCCACCCTGCATCTTAAAGTCACTCATAGGCAACTACAGCCAATCGGCACATGTTCTTGGAGTCTGGACTGCTGTATGTATTCATAAAGTGAGCAAGGGATCACGCTCTGTTGTATTTCCATTCCAATCATCCAAAGCCAAGGCCAAAACAAACTCTTTCAAGTTTTAAGTAGCTCCAATGCTGCTCCTGGAAACCCATTTCATAATCTTTGTCACATCTATGAGGTGGYGCAGGACCCGGTTGAATTAATACATACAAACGTAGGGGCTGTTTCTCAGCTTTAAGCAACAACATGTTGCTTATTATCCCCTGTCGTATTAAAACATTTATGTTGGTACCTTAACAACTGCAGGGCTTGTTCTGATCCTGTGATTGTGGTTTGCATGATTCTGGGTACTGAGGCCACTGCATTCATTATAACTCAGCTGAGTGTTGGCCGGTGCCAGCAGGAGCTTCTTAAGCTGGGAACATCAGGGAAGGAAAGAGCAAGGCAGTTATGGGTCTCTTACACACTCAAATCAGCAAGTGAAATTTTAGACTTTAATTCATTATCATTACAAATATTAATTCTACCATTCTTTAATTCTATCACCCCTGACCACAATAGTGCTCAAGGAAACATTTTTTTTAAAAGTGAAGAAAAAGTTTGGCATTGTACTACCAACCGTGAAAGTAGTTTCTTTGCCTCCATTTGAGATTTGGCATTGTTCGGAATTTTTAAAATTATTTTTTGATATCATAAAGCAGTTGTTCCTAAAGTGGTTTCCAAAGCACTACTATAAGTTAAGCAATGCTGATTTGCTCAATGAGGACTTGGGCGTAGGAATCAGATACACAATTTTCCTCTAAAACTCAAATCAATCAAGTGGCAATACATGAAAGATTGTGTGATGCTTTTAACAGGTTTCACAACCAACCCTCCAGATTGACTGACTCACAGAATGTTTGGGCAGAAACAGTGACTATCCTGATCTYAGAAGGGAAAGATAGGACATGTGAGCCGAGTTCTGTAGGTCAGCATGTAGGTTGGAAGACGAGGGCTCTGATACAGACAAGGCTGTCCTCCATATGTTTCTGCATTTGCATGGATGACTCTCAGGCATCTCCCTGCCCTTATACACAGGATGTCTTTGGGCCAGCAACCCCCCTCCCAAGTTGAATAAATGGTGCAGATGAAAATCATCTGGTTATCAATATAAAAAATCAGAGTACTAGACAGTAAAGCTAATGACACTAGAAGTGGAGAAATGGCAAAATTAAACAAGAGGCTATTACATATGAGATATTCTCAAGACCAAAAATCTCAAAATAGAAAGGAATACAAGTAAGGTCCCCATGTTTATTCTTTCAACGTTTTAAAACCTAGAGATGTGAGAAAACTATGCCTCCAAATGGTGTACCAAAGCATGTTACTAGAGTCTGGATGCTGGCATTTCACAATTTACACAGCATGCTCTTACATCAGATTTATGGCAAATGACAAATGGCTACCATAGCTKAGAAGGTAAACTGTGTCTTAGAACTAATAAAACTCTGGTCTAGCACTGCATTGAAAAGAAAATTCGTTCTTCATTGCCTACCATAAATTTTAAGTAACTTAGGTTGCAAATGTGCTATTATTTTTCCAATCTTCATAAGAAATATGAACCCAGCGTCTTCAAATATTGCATACCCCTAGATCCGACAACTCTATTTCTAGAATTGTATGCAGAAGAATAAAAATGCAACCATGTCAATTATTAGACAATTCATAATATTGAAAAATAGGAGGCAAAAGCCTAAATATCCAACCATAAGTAATTACATAATAAATTACATTCCCATACAATAAAATACTATGAGACCACTAAAAATTATGCATATACTTAAAATTTTACCAACATGTTCATGGTATATCTTAAATCAAAGGAGAATCCAATCATTTTTTTATGCAATAGGTTTTTTGAAATCACAGATGAATTTTTAGTACTTTTTAGTCTACTTTTTTCAAGTTTTCACTGTGAAATAAATACTAAGAAATAAAAACATGCACATGTAAACAGCAAAAAAAAATTATATTTGATATATCTGTATTTATCTATATCTATAATTTTGCAGTTCTGAGGATCAAACCCAGGACCGCCTGCAGGCTAGGCAAGTGCTGTAACACTGAGCTACATCCTCAGCTTGAATGGTGGTTTTAAAAATACTTCAAATACTACATAAAAACTGAATTATCAAGACTTTTAAACAGAGAATGGCAGAATGTGCGACTGTGAGTGTGCCTCAGGATTGTTTTGGCATCAKTCTAAAATCCAAACCTTCTACATCATGCCCATGCAGCAGGTAGCCAGAGGCGGCTCGTGGGAGTCRAACAGTAGGAAGGGTTCTTACTAGAGACGGCTCTTCTGCCTCCTGAGGTGGAGGGGTGCCGTCAGGCATGGAGGAAGGACTGGCCTCGTTGTCAGTGGTCACGTCTCCATCTGTCAGTGCATCAAATGAGGGCAATCCGTCTTCATCCACAGGGAGACTGTCTAGTGTCTCTGTGAGGACTGCGAGCAAGTTTGCCTCATTTTCTTCATCTATCTTCTGGAAAAGCAGAAAAGAAGGTGGAAGAAGACAGGAGTGAGTTGACATTGGGAGGTGGGTAGCACTATTAATCAGCACGGGCTGCACACGTTCAATAGAATGAGTAAACTGTATGTGGAATCCTGCACCCGCGCCAGGACAGGACGACCGTGGCTTCCCCGGGCTCCTGACTCATATTGGGTCTGAACCACATGCTTAATGAACACCTCTGCAGTACCGGTCTCTGATTGCTGACTGTCCAGCTTAGCAGTCTGTATGTCAGCGCTTGATTCAGCTGTGGGTGATTCTGTGTCGTTCACCTTCCCACAGACTTGTGTCTTTGTCTCCTAACTCAATGGTAAGATTTAGGAAATCTGAGGGCTGAAGAGAATCTTAATCATCCTCTATTTAATCTGCAGATGCGGTGTTTAGATCTCCTATACAGCACCCTTGCAAATGTTTAGATAACCTTCCATTTGAACACTGCCAGAAACTTAAAACGATACCAGGAGAATCTATACACTTTCCTGATTTCAATTATAATCTCATCWCTGAACACTCTGAAATCATTTATTTCTCTCCCTGACATCTCTCCCAACTTTAGTCATAAATCTCTAACTGCCTACTGGACATTTCTACTTTACAATAGCTCCCTCATCTTCAAAACCCAAACTTTGGACCTTTATCACAACAAAGCTGCTATTTCTCCTGAATTCTTTAGTTTGGATAACAATACTCCAAATTTAAATTCTGCAACTACCTCAATCCCTCTTTTTCTGATTGGTTATTGGAATCTTATTTTGTAATGACTTAAATGMACTATTTTACTTGTGGCCAGGGTAGTATTCTTTTCCACCTCCCAGATTCAGTTTCACCAACACACCTATTGAAAACTAATCTTCAGTCATTGATTCCACAGACATGTTTGGAACACCTTATTTTGTGCCACAGCCAGTGGAGGGGGTAGAGATACAAAGAGAAAATAAGACAAAACTCTATCCTTCCAAGAACCCTCCAGTGGAAAGGAAGAACTTGTGAAAAATTGATTATAAAAGAGAGTACTAACTTCGATCCTCTGCAGAAAAACATTCAAGGACTCCCAACCTGGGATTGTGTACCTTGCTAACAAGAGAACGTGTTAAGTTCTATGCACCTGGACAGTCAGTTCCAGGGCTGGGCACAAAGTCTAGATAGTCAGTGATTACTTTCTGAATAATTCATTGATCTGCATTTTTTTTGCCAACAATATAGTCTGTGTGGATCACTTTCTTTTCCTTCTTTTGGCACTTTATATTGTTTGTCTAATTTGACTGGCTTCCAAAGTCCTTTTTCTAAAAGTTCRGTTCGCTATGACATTAACAATATGTGCTAAATTATCCCACACAGATTCTATTACAAAATGCACCTAAGCTGCTGACATCTAATGAAGCCAGCAGTGCCCACACTTCCTTTCTCTCTAGCACTGAACTCCAGTTAATTGACCTGACAAAATTACAAGAATCACAGAATAAGACAGCTAATCAGAAAATCAAATTGTATTACTAGAGAAATTAGGCAGGGTTTTATCACGTATACATTCTATTTTCACATAAAAATTGTTTTCCCTCATTACTAATCAGTCTCTATCCGGGAGTAAAACTAYAGGCTTCTTTTTCTTTGGGACTCAAGAGGCCAAAAAGAGCCATTTGTACTCATGGTGGATATCAGGGCACATTTTTGCATTTGCTAAATGCATCTCCCTGCTACTCCTAGATTTGAGATTGTGAGTCAAGTACTTTGGACACCATGTGGTGTGACCACTGAATGAAGCTTAGACACCACTGAAGAAGGTCAGTCCTGACCAGAAGTGATTTATCAACTTCAAAATGGCACACTCACTTCCACTTACTGACCAATTCAGTAGCATCCAAACTACTCAATTCAAAACAGAGCTTATTGAACATGGCCATCCCCGATTCTCCTATTCCTATCTGTGTAGCCCTAATAATAAAGGTAGGGAAAGATTTTCTSCTTATTTTCTGCAGAGAATTATACTCTGATGTCCAAAAATGCCAGTCACATTCCTCTTTAGGTTCCCAAATATGCAAACAGTCAAATTCAGACTATTAAACTATTCTAAATATAATTATATTTAARTAAAATATACACTATTTTAAATCATCACAAACTCATGAAATAATGACTATAAATTTCTCCATATTATCTCCACCAAATATTCTTTGAAACTGTGTCAAATACACATGTTCACACAGACACATACACACATTTTCAGTAAACTGAACATTTCTCCAGGTATGCCATGATTTGAAAAGGCTTCTTTAACTGAAGTTCAAAAAGAACTCAAGAAAAACAGTTAAAAATGTTTACCAATAAATGAGTAATTTTGTTTACCGTGATTTAAATTTTGTGTTTGGCTTTCCGGCAATATCACAAGCTGCTATTTGCTTTCAATCACATAATACAATAGTGCCTTAGTTCTATCCCTTGTGTAAACAAACTATGATAATTCCAATCAAGTCAAAATGACAAAGAACACTTAAATTAACTAGTTTTCTCAAATTTCTTTAATAAGCCTGAGTGAATGTACACCAAATACAATGGCAAAAATATTGGAGCTTGATAATGTCATAATTAATTTACAAGATCTGATTAAACCACCAACTACTTTAATTTTCCTCTCTACTGGAACCACAATGGGAGGAGGTGGGTGTGGGGGTGTGGGAGATTGGCATGACATGCATGTGAGTGTGTGTGAGCAGGCATGCACACTCATATGGACAAGGAGGGCTCCTAGTCAAGCAAAGTGTACCAGAAGGTCTGTGTTCATTATTTACAGTCAGTGTCCGCTCAATGTAATTGTTAAATATTTTATTATCATCCCTGAATGTGAGTGGCTCAGAGATTCTCAAAGACCATTTATTTTAGTAAAGTTCTTTTTGAATTATGGAAGAAAAAAATATTATTATTTCAAATTCTCTCTATGTTCTTTAATCATGGAGTTCTGGGAAGAAATCTTGCTATTTATTGATAACACTTTTGTGTCGAAGCTCAACACAAACACAACAACAACACAAAGTTGAGTGGAGGCTGCCCCTCACTGTGGCAATTTCAATTAGTTTCATATGAGATTCAACAATCACATGTCCCAGACAAGGCAATGGATATGACAAAGAGGACTCTGTTAAACAATTAATGTCACTTTCTATTATTGCTTCAGTCCCAATTTACAGAGCAAATAAATCAAAGTCGCCATAGATGAGGTGCACTGGCCTATGAACACACGTCTGTTCACAAGTGACAGGGTATGGAAAGGCAGTAGTCAGTAAAATGACATCGCAAGGTAACCTTTCAAAGACTTGGCTGTGATACTGCTTGCTAATTCTTTGAAATTAGAAATTTATATAAAAAAATATGTTTCTTGTGTGCAAGTTGAAAAATAAGAGAAAGGAAAGCAGAGGAGCCAGGGAAGAAGTGAGGATCAACCTCTCCACAACCTAGCTCCATCTTGGCACTGGCAGGAGACGTAGAAGGCAAGAGGGGAAAACTGGCCAACAGGTGCCCCCATGGCTGAGCTCCTCGGCTATGGAGCAGCATTGCCTATGGTGGGGGGAGTCCAACCTTGGCTTCTCCTTACACCATGCTATTCTGCTGCTGTTTCTTCCAACCTAAACCAAGGTCTCTGTGCCTGTAAAACTTGACTCTCCATGGGCTCTCCAGGAAGAAAGAAGGCACATCCACACAACCTCCCTCCAGGTGTAAAGAATCTCCAGTGACAGATGATACACAGGCATTTATACCCACAACCCAAAGTGTAGAATCCACAACGATTCCAACCCCATGCCACATCATCAATAAGTGAGAGTTTAGAGCAGTCAACAGAATCTGAAGGCTCAGCACTGCTCTTTGGGACTGCTGGGTTTCCCTATGACCTGGATTAGGTCTGACATGATTCAAAAGGTACCATTGAAAGAAGGTRGACTGTGCTCCTTTGGGTGTCCACAGTCACTTTCAGATTACAGTGCTGGAGCTGTTGCGTGATAACAGGAACTTCCTATTGTGTGGACGGGTGACAAAAAGCCTGTCCAACGGGTTGGCATGGGCCAGGCCCTGCGCTCAACTCACCCAACTCCACACCCCAGAGAGCAGAGAAAGCCACTGAATCAAGGAGGAGATGAGAGACTTGGGGATGCTTACTGACCCTGAGGGCAGCAGCACAGAGTGAAAACTGCATGTGGTCTCCCAAAGACTGTTAAATGTGGCCTGTGATGGAAGGACCCTGCCCTGCTTAGGGTAGTAATTTTTATCTGCATCTTGTAGAATTGCAATTACACTCGGGTGTCCCCAGATTCTCACACTCGCTTGATCTCTGTTTGATAAAAATAGTTTAATAGCCATTTAATCACAGCTTCATTATCTTAGCTCTCTTAATGCGAATTAGGCCAGGAGAATTCTTGCTACCTCATTATTCAAATCATCAATAAGAAGGAAACAGGGGGGGTCTTCTTATCATTCATTAATCAGTTTCAGTTTCTTCTTAGGTACTGTTTACTCAGAGACCGATCTGTGTGAGGGGTCACTTAGCCTCTCTGAGCCTCTATTTTTTTTCTGTACAAAATTTCAGGTTTTTTTTTTTTATTGTTGTTGTTTGTTTTATTTTTTGGAATTTTTTTGCCTAATTCCCATTATGGATTTTTTTTGGATTGATGATTAATAGGATGAAAAAACGAGTTGATAAACCCTGAGAATTCTTCAAGACGGTGTTCATACACACTCCAGTGTACATGCCCATCATCTTGAGTTCCCGCACTTGAATTTCATTCCTTGAGCAGGATMTACTGCCGACTTTTAGCGATGGGCCACCTTCCCCCAAATACCCAGCATGCCCTGGGCTTCCTCCTTGCCCTATCCTGCTGATTTGGAAACAGCTAATGAAGACAAAATTAACTTCTACTTTAAGTGAGGCCTAATTAGGAAGGGAAATCTGCTAGAGTAACATCTGGTAGTGTATTCCAAAGCCAAAT